TTTTTAATGGCTAAGTAATATTCTACTGTCTGAATATACCACAATTTATTCATCTGTTCATTAGTTGATAATTATTTGGGTTGTTTCTAATTTTGGGGTTATTATGAATAATCCTGTTATGAGCATTTATGTACAAGTTTCTGTGTGAGCATATGGTTTCAGTTCTTTTGTGTATACACCTAGGAGTAGAATTACCAGGTCATTTGGTAAATCTTTGTTTAACTTGTGAGGAACCACCTAACTGTTTTCACAGTGACTACACCATTTTACATTCCCACCAGCAAAGTATGAGCATTCTGATTTTTTCCACATGCTCACCAACATTTGTTATTATCTGATATTTTTTAGTCCAGCCATCCTCGTGGATAAGGAGTTGTGTCTTGTTGTGGATTTGATATGTATTTCCCTAGTGACTAATGAAGTTGAACATATTTTTCCTGTGTAACTTGGCCCCTTGTATATCTATTTTTGGAGATATGTACATTCAAGTCCCTTGCCAAAATTTTTGAATTGTGTTCTTTAATTGTACAGGTTCTTTTTATGTTCTGGGTACTGCGTCTTACATGATATATGACTAGCAAATCTTTTCTCCCATTGTTTTCATTTCCTTGATGCACAATTTTTTAATTTAAGATCAACTATCTACTTTTTTTTGTTGCTTCTGCTTTTGATATCATATCTAGGAAGCCATAAATTAAAGGTCATGAAGATTTACCTCTGTGTTTTATTCTAGGAGTTTTAGAGTTTTAGCTCTTATATTTATGTTGTTAGTCTATTTTAACTTAGTTTTTATATATGGAGTGAGATAAGAGTTCCACTTCATTCTTTTACATGTCGATGTCGAGTTGTCTTGGCATTATTTGTTGGAAAGACTATTTTTTTTTCAATTGTATGATCTTGGCACCTTTGTCAAGAATCAGTTGACCTTTAATGTATGGTTTTATTTCTGGGCTCTCCCTTCTTTTCCATTGTTCTATATTCTTATCCTATGCCAGTAACATGCTGTTTTGATTATTCTATCTTCATAGGAAGTTTTGAGATTGGGAAGTATGAATGAATCTTCCAGTTTTGTTTTAAGATTGTTTTGGCTATCCAGGGTGTCATAAAATTTCATATGAATTTTAAGAACAGCTTGTTTGTTCACTTCTGAGAAAAAGGAAGTTGAGATTTTGATAGATATTTCATTGAATCTGTACATCAATTTGGTAATGTTGCCCTCTTAACTGTTAAGTCTTCCATTTAATGTCCATGGACTATCTTTCCATTTATCTTCATTATTTAGGTATTCTTTAAATTTTTTCAACAATGTTTTGTGGTTTTCAGTGTACAAGTCTCATACCTTAGCTAAATTTATTTTTAAGTATTTTATGTTTGTTTTTGATATTATTATAAATAGAATTTTCTTAATTTTATTTTTGGAATGCTCATTGCTATAGCATTGAGCTGTATTATAGAAATACAACTGACTTTTGTTCTTGTACCTGCAACTTTGCTGAATTCATTTGTTAGTTCTAATTGTGTGTGTGTGTGTGTGTGTGTGTGTGTGTGCATGTGTATATGTGTTCTTTTGGGTTTCTATATATAAGATATGTCATCTTTGAATAGAGAAATTCTTCTTCCTTTCCAATTTGGATGCATTTTATTTCTTTTTCTTGCCTAAACGCCTCAGCTAGAACTTCTAGTACATTACTGAATAAAGGTGGTAACAATGGACAACTTGTTTTGTTCCTGATCTAATAGGGTTACTATTAAGTAATGTTAACTGTGGGTTTTTTGTGCATACCCCTTATCAAGTTGAGCAAGTTTCCTTCTATTTCTAGTTTGAAAATGTTTTTATCATAAAGGATGTTAGATATGGTCAGATGATTTTCCTGCATTAAGTGAGATGAGCATGTGGGTACTCTTTTCTTCATTATATTAGTGTGGTACATATATAGAATTTTGTATGTGAACTACCCTTGTGTTCCGGGCATTAAGTCTACTTGGTAATGGTGCACAATCCTTGGTACTGGTACAGCTGGATTCAGTTTACTAGTATTTTGTTAAGGATTTTTGCATCTATATTCATAAGGGAAAATAGTCAATAATTTTTTCTTGTGTTGTCTTTGGCTTTGGTGTCAGGAGATTACTGGCCTAATAGGATGAGTTAGGAAATCCCATGCCCCTTCCCTTTTGTGAAGAGTTTGGAAGGAGTGGTGTTAATTCTTTAAATGTTTGGTAGAATCCATCAGTGAAGCTGTCTGGTCCTGGGATTTTCCTTTGTCAGAAGCTGTTTGAACATCAATTCACTCTCTTTACCTTTTATACGTCTATTCAGATTTTCTACTCTGTGAGTCATTTTTGGTAGTTATGTGTTGCTAGGAATTTGTCCATTTTATCTATGTTATTCATTTTCTTTGTCAAACTGTCCATATTATTCTGGTTGTCAATTTTGCTCATCTTTACAAATAACCAACTCTTGGTTTCATTGATTCTCTCTATAGGTTTTCTCTTCTCTACTTTGTTTACCCCCACTCCAATCTTTACCATTTCCTTTCTTCTGCCTGCTTTGGTTTTAGTTCTTTTTTTAATTCTTTAAGGCAGAAGCTTAGGTTATTGATTTGAAATCTTTCTTCTTTTCATTGTTGCATTTACAGTTAAATTGTGTTCTGAGCACTGTCTTGTAACTTTTGTTGTTTCAAAATGTATTTTAATTTTTATTCATCTCAAAGTATTTTCTAACTTCCCTTGTGATTTCTTCTTTGGCTCATTATTTAAGAGTGTTATTTACATATATTTGTTAATTTTCCACACTTTCTTCTGATATTTATTTATAATTTAATTCCACTGTGGCCAGAGAAGATACTATGTATGACTTCAATCTTTTTAAATTTATTGAGACTTCTGTTACATAATGTATGGTTTATTTTGGAAAATATTCCATGTGTACTTGACAAAAAAGATGTGTATTCTGTTATTGAATAGAGTGTTCTATATATGTCTGTTAGGTCGAGTTGGTTTATGATATTATTCAAGATCTCTATTTCTTTATTCTTCTTCCATCTAGTTATATCATTGAAAGTGGGATATTGAAATATTCAACTGTTATTGTTGAATTGTCCATTTCTCCCTTCCATTCTGTCATTTTTGCTTCATATATTTTGGGGCTTTCTTGTTGGGTACATACTTGTTTATAATTGTTATATCTTCTTGATTAAGTTACCATTTGATCATTATGTGATGTTCTTTGTGCATCCTAATAATTTTTGTCATAAAGTCCATTTGGCTGATATTAAAATAGCCACTTCAGCTCTCTTTTGATTACTGTTAGCATGGAATATCTCTTTCCATACTTTACTTTCAACCTGTTTGTGCTTTTGGCTCTTAAGTGAGTCTTTTATAGACAGCATACAGCTCACTCATGAGCAGTGTTATTGAATACCTACTATGTGCAAGGAATTACATGGGTGATAGAGATCATGTGCTCAGGAACTTAAAACCTTATAAGTATTTTGTAAATGAGGTATGAATAAAAGTGTTTTGATAGATGCATTCACTTTGTGAAAATCCATCACTATGTATTATTGTATGTGTGTGATACATTCTGAATATTTTCTGTATGTGTGTTATACTTCAAGAAAATGATTCCTCCCAAAAGTGCTTTGGGAATTCAAAATTGGAATGAATTGTTTCCAGCTGAGAGAATAGGGGAATGCCTTTACACAGAAACTAATTTTCAGGTTTTATGTTCTATTGTTACTGAGAGTTTTTCATAACCAGCATAAGGTGGTTTTGTTTTCCAGATATCACCATCATCATCATCACTGCTACTTATTAAGACCTTACTGTGTACCAGTGCCAGGCAGCATCTGAATTCCTTGTGCATATTAATCTGCTAAATCCTATTGTGACCCTATGAAGTAGATTACTATTATTGTCTCCATTTGACAGAGGAAAAATTGAGACACAGTGAGGTTATGTAAGTGATAGAGCCAGGACACAAACTGCTCAGTCCAGCTCATCTCTTATCCAAACAGAAGCAGTTCTCAAAATGTGATCCTGGAACCCTCATGGATCCTTAGATGCTTTCACAGAGGTCAACAAAGTCAAAATTATATTTATAATAATACTAAGACATTTTTTGCCTTTTTCTTTCTCATTCTCTTAAGAGTGCCAGTGGAATTTTCCGGAGACTACATGATGCATACTATCACAACAGATTGAATGCAGAAGCAGATATGAGAATCCAGGTGTCTTCAATTAAGCAAAACACTGAGGAATTTTTTTAATGGAAAATGATGTCATTCTTCTCACAGAATTTTTTTGTTTTGCAAAATGTAGTGATTTTTCATGAATCATATTAGTCATGTTAGCATTTAATAGGCTTATTATTCCTTTTAGTAAGTTAATAAATATTGAAAACTTTTCAGTTTCAATTTTTATTATGATAAATATCTATAGATATAACTCATAAACAAAATCACACTGGGGTCCTCAATTTATAAAGAGCATAAGGGGTCCTGAGATTTAAAAAAAGAGTTTGAGCATCTCAGCCTCATGCTTTTCTGAGATTGGCTACTTAGGTTTTGTGGCCATAGTAGCAGCTTTGCAGTATAATCCACGTCTTTGAAACCTGGCACATAAAAATTTACCCTTCCTTCTCTTCTATGCAACTGGGCATAATGCTGACACCCCAGGGAAGCCATGAGAGTTATATAAGAATACAAGTAAAGGCCGAGGGCATAGTCAACACTCAATCAGTGACACAAAACCTGGAATTTTTCTTGTTACCACAGGTGATGGACTTTTACTGCCAGTCTTGTGAGACTGCCATGTGTCGGGAGTGCACTGAGGGGGAGCATGCAGAACACCCTACAGTCCCCCTCAAGGACGTGGTGGAGCAGCATAAGGCCTCGCTCCAGGTCCAGCTGGATGCTGTCAACAAAAGGTGTGCACACCTCCCCCAGGATGCCTGTGTATGAGACTTGGTTTCCTGGTCTCTTGTCTTACTTAGTGAGTAGGTTCATGATACCTAAACATACTCACCTCTGACTGTGTGTCTATGGTCATGAGCTAGTGACCAGTGTCAGTCATCCCATGCCCCTTTGTAAAATTCCACCCCCCTTATGTTATCAGTGGTGGCAATTTTTAGTAGTTTAATATGATTAAATTTATAAAATACACTCAAGGAAAATACTCTCAGGAGATCTCTGAAAGTCTTGTGAGGAACCTTTCTTAGCTGCTGTTCTTGACATACACAGGCACATTGCATGACTGGCTCCTCTGTTTGAGCCCAGCAGAATGGTACGGAGCTGTGACTGCTCAGTTTCTGTATGTTTCCCTGCTTCCAGGCTCTCTTTTTGGCATGGAAATGAAGAAGACACCCCAGGGAAGCCATGAGAGTTACATAAGAATACAAGTAAAGGCCTAGGGCATAGTCAGCACTCAATCAGTGACACAAAACCTGGAATTTTTCTTGTTACCACAGGTGATGGACTTTTACTGCCAGTCTTGTGAGACCGCCATGTGTCGGGAGTGCACTGGGGATTTAGGGTTAAACCGGATTGTTTTTCTCCCATAATTATGGGAGAAGCAAAGTAGCTGTGTGATGCAGGAAGAAGACCTAGAGAATAAACCACCACCATCAGCAGACAATACATCTCTTCACCAATAGTGTTAGTGAGAAAAGTGTAGTTTTTCTTCACAATTAATGAAGAGAACTTGGAAACTTGCAAGAAGTTCCCAGGAAACTGAGTTTGCATAAGTTTTTCATGTGATTAGGAGAAAAGATACAACTATATATTTAGAACAGTGGTTCTCAACCATGGGCCATTATAGCCCCCAGGAGACATTTGGCAATGCCTGGACACAGTTTGGTGTCACAACTGTGTGTGTGTGTGTGTGTGTGTGTGTGTGTGTGTGTGTGTGTGTGTGTGTCGTGGTGGGGGTGCTGCTGGCATCTGGTGGCAAAAAGGATGCTGGTAAACATGTAACATTGCACAGAACAGCCCCCGCAACAAAAAATCATGTGGTCCCAAATATTGTAGTGTTATCTGAGAAAGCCTGATTTAGGAAGAGAAAATTCCATGGGGTTCAGAGAGCATCAAAGCTTTGTACCATCAATTATTAAAATTAGATGATTGATTAGATGAAATAGACATGGATTCTCAAAGTCTCTCCTCTCAAAGGCAATGATTATGTTGTATCTTTTCTTTTTTCAGTTATGACTTTTTGAAGATGAGAAAAGACAAAATATTTTTTGAGCAAAATACAGTGTTTAGATTTTTTTTTTTTACAATTTCTGGGTTGATGTTAAACAGTGATCTTTAATAACTGTCCTCTAGGCTCCCAGAAATTGATTCCGCTCTTCAGTTCATCTCAGAAATCATTCACCAGTTAACCAACCAAAAGGCCAGCATTGTGGATGACATACACTCCACCTTTGATGAACTCCAGAAGACATTAAACGTGCGCAAGAGCGTGCTGCTTATGGAACTGGAAGTCAACTATGGCCTCAAACACAAAGTAAGACTCCAGCCATCCTTATGCATAGTGTGTAAGAAACGTGGTATCTCAGGCACTTCACTAGCTTTCTCTGTTCTAATAGCAGCAAAGGGGACTCAGATGGGTCTTTAAGTGACACTGTTGTACAGTCAACAGTTTTCATTTAATGGCATATCCAGCTTTTTTTCCCTCCCAGTTTTCAGCCGAACTCTGTGATTCTGTGACCTGAAGTACCAGTTTATAATTTGACATAAAGCAAGATTGAATATAAAGTAATACTTTCAAGATTTAGGAATTTAGGGTTAAACCGGATTGTTTTTCTCCCATAATTATGTTTAATAGTCTCTTAATTGCTCGCTCACCCACACCAACCTGTTAGTCAACTTTAGAGTGAATCTTGACTACAGCCTTTGTTTAACTCTGCATGTCTAATCACAAAACTGGGGATGAAAAGCTTCTGATGTTTAGGTATGGGGAGTTTTCATTTGTCTGCTTTCTGTTCCTTTAGGTGGTGACAGGGGAATGTCAAGCATAGCAATTTTTTGCCAGGCCCTTAGTGGTGACGTTTATGCCTGCCCCTATCAAAAATACATGACCAAAGAAATATGTGTGTGGGAGAGACAGGGCGAGGCGGGAGGAAAAGAGAAGGTCCTGGGAATGCAGTGTAGGACTATGCCTTAGAACTGGGTTCACTGGGTTAAGTTAAATGCCACTTGCCGAGAGCCTCGGGCGGGGGCAGGGCGGGCCGGACCGCCCCTGTCGCCCGCGCGGCGCCCTGCAGGCTGGGCTCGCGCGCCGCTGGAGGCGCTCACCCAGCCTGGCTCCTTCCCGCAGGTCCTCCAGTCGCAGCTGGACACTCTGCTCGAGGGGCAGGAGAGCATCAAGAGCTGCAGCAACTTCACCGCGCAGGCCCTCAACCATGGCACGGAGACGGAGGTGCTGCTCGTGAAGAAGCAGATGAGCGAGAGGCTGAACGAGCTCGCCGACCAGGACTTTCCGCTGCACCCGCGCGAGAACGATCAGCTGGATTTCATCGTGGAGACCGAAGGGCTCAAGAAGTCCATCCACAACCTCGGGACGATTTTAACCACCAACGCCGTCGCCTCCGAGACGGTGGCCACAGGCGAGGGGCTGCGGCAGACCGTAATCGGGCAGCCCATGTCCGTTACTATAACAACCAAGGACAAAGACGGGGAGCTCTGCAAAACCGGCAATGCCTACATCACGGCGGAGCTGAGCACGCCCGACGGCAGCGTGGCGGACGGGGAGATCCTGGACAACAAGAACGGCACGTATGAGTTTTTGTACACTGTCCAGAAGGAGGGGGACTTCACCCTCTCTCTGCGACTCTACGACCAGCACATCCGAGGCAGCCCCTTTAAGCTGAAAGTGATCCGGTCCGCCGACGTGTCGCCCACCACCGAAGGCGTGAAGCGGCGCGTGAAATCCCCGGGCAGCGGCCACGTGAAGCAGAAGGCGGTGAAAAGACCCGCGAGCATGTACAGCACCGGGAAGAGAAAAGAGAATCCCATCGAGGACGATCTCATCTTTCGAGTGGGTGAGTAGGAGGCGTCCTGGCCGAGCCGGGCCTGGGTTAAGGGGCGGCTAGGGAAGTGCTGCAAGGAGGAGCATTGCCCGTCAGCACGGCTACCCGAAGGGGTTGGGAGATACTGAAATATTTTATTAGGTGAGTTTGTGCAGTCTCCTTCTGCGGAGCTTCTCTGGCTTGGGTTCCCGTTCTCGCGGCCCTCCCTCTCCCTCCCCCTCTCGTTCTCCCCTTCTCCTCTCACCCCCTCCTCCCCACTTCCTCTCCCCCTTCTGTCCCCACCCCAATCCTTTTCAACAAGCGCTCCTAGAAAATTAGAAACTGATTTGTAGAACAGTAGAAACTGAAAATAAGCAAAAAGAGAAATAGAAAAAAATCACAGCACTCATAATCTGGAAATTTGAAGGTACTGGCAACCCCGGCCCCCACCCCCCATCCCCTAGGAATGTCCTGAAGAGTCCTCCTGCCTAGCCCAGAGGCAGAGAGGTCATTCTGCCACCTGACTTCCTGTGTTTCTCTGAAATCTGCCGTCTCTGGCCGTGCTGTGAGCAGACTCTATGCCTCCCTGGCACTGCTTTGGCATTGTGAGGGCTGGGGCCCGGGGACAGGGCACGCCCCCGGTCGTGACTGCCTCCAGCTGTGTATGCCTGGAGAGCAGCTCCAAAGAGGGGAGGGTGGCGGGAAACCGGGAGAATGGAATTTGCTTTTTAACTTTATTTTCCCAATGAAAAGTAACCTAAATGTAAGTATCAATGGACTTTGTGATTCTTAAGAAAAAAAAGTTTGGATTTGAGTTAATGTTTCCAAAAGTAGCTCTAGTCTGTTTCTCTTTATACCTCTTCAATCCTGCATTGCAGTATCTCTAAAAGGGTGCTACACACACAGTATGTTAATTGACACGTTAGAAAAACAAATACGTGGTTCCGAAACAGGGAAACCTTAGCTTAAGTGAAGGATGCACATTTTTTTTAACTGCAGAACCTTCAGATTCTGCCTTTGTATATTACAAGACTCCAAGGCAGGGGAGGGATAACAGACATCATTTCTAAACTTTGCTGACCAGAGAACTTTCTCCATGGATCGTCCTCAGAGCCTCAGACTCCTTAAACACTCCTGGACAGAACCTGTTCTACATTAATACTTTAGGCTGAATCTTGTAAAGATGACAATATGATATGTAACTTGTCCATTCAGAGGATAGAGGCCCCTGACCATTCACTGGGTGTATGTATAGCGTGGGTGTGGAAGTTGTTGATACATCGCCAAAGTAGAGTGGACAAGCTGGGGCGGGTGCAGGATGGGCGCCTCTGAAGTCTGCCACTCCGGTTCTGTCACTTGCTTCAATTTTGGGTGGGTCTCTCAGCTTCCCTGGGCTTCAGTTTCCATGTCCATAAAATGAAAATGCAAAAGACCTGCACCTGAGAACTGTTCTGGTTTCCAAACTTAATGCCTGGCATGTTGGAGTTGCTGAGTAAATGAGGACTGTTGTTTTTGCACATGCAATTAAAGCTGTTAGACTTCCCTGTACCTTTTCTTCTAAAAAAGTTTACCTCACCGCTACCGTTGATCTCCTGCCTTAAGAATAAACTGTCTCTTGTTCAAATACCCTCCTGCAAGCCAAGTAAGCCCCGTCTGCTTCCTCAGACAGACTGCAGAGTGGAGAAAGGCAAAGATCAGATCTGAATCCTAATTCTCCTCAACAATTGGGCAACTAGCTTACCCTTTCTGAACCCAGTTTCTTCCTCTTTAAAAAAAAAAAAAAGAATGAAATATTGTCTAACTATTAAGGTTGCACCAGGAGTGAAGTGAGAGAGAATTCTTGTACTGTGCCTGGCGCTGGCCTATGTACATTAAGGGCTCAATTAGTGGCAGCTATTATTTTACTATATTGTTTTTACTTTTAATCATCATCATCTCTACCTGTGATTCTCATCTGAGAAGGATAAGGGACATTTCTCCTAGTAGTGGTATTCCCCCTAATGATATTGATTTGAATTCCCAGCTCCCACTCTTTTCCCCTCCTACCCATTAAGAAATGCAGCCATAGTGATTCTCTGGCACTGGTAAGAGGCTGTTTAAAAATTTAAACATCTGTAAAGAACTTTGAACAGTGCCCAGATATATACAGCACTATATCCAAGTCTATTAATAAAGTATAGATGCTGTCTTTGTGTGCTCAGGCTGCCAGAACAAAATACCATAGATGAGGTTGCTTAACAGAAATTTATCTCTTATAGTTCTGGAGGCTGAAAACCCAAGATCAAGATGATGGCGGGGTTAGTTTCCTCTGAGGCCTCTCTCCTCGTCTTGTAAATGGCCACCTTCTTGCTTCTTTGCCCCAGACACTGTCCTTGTGCGCATGCACATTACTGGCATTCCTTCTTCTAAGGGCGCCAGTCACTGGATTAAGGCTCACCCTAACGGCCTCCTTTTAACTTAGTCCCTCTTTACAGACCTTATCTTCAAATACAGTTGCATCCTGAGGTCCTGGAGATTGGGACTTTGACACAGGGACTTGGGGAGGACATAGTTCAGCCCATAGCAGAAGGTAAACCCTTCAGGGATATAAGGGCAAAAGGGAAGGCCAAGTCATACTTTCTTTATCTTCATGTTCTATTTATTCCTCAGTCTGTAATAAAGATAAAATTAAATAAAGTTTATTCCTCTTTATGCTGTAATCCAAAAGACACCACTCACCATGCAATAATATAGCTCAAAAAACATTCCTAGAGCATCTAGTGCCTGCTGGGCCCTATGCTACATGCTGGGAATATAGAGATGAAAAAAATTAGATCTCCTTCCTCAAGGAGCTTACAGTTTGGGATGAGAACTAACCCTCAACACCAGGGGTTAGGTAACCGAAAGCTATAGAAAATGAAAAGAAATTTAAACTGGGGCATGTACAATGAGGAGGACTTTTCCAAGTTGACAGATGGAAATATATGGCTTCCCAGGCAGAGTGCCCAGTGTGAATGGGGAAGGCAGTGAAGAGGAGAGGACGCCATTGGCGTTTCAGAGGGACGGCATTCTGTGAAAAGCACAGGGTGAGCGAAGGGCAGAGCAGTGGTAAATGATGACGGCTCAGGCTGGTTGTGAGGTGGCACAGATTGGTGCTGGAGCCCTGCTCCCTGAATGCTCTCGGTGTTTTCACACCTGGGCACCTTTGTCCAAGAATTCTGTCCCCATTTTTATCCTTCTCTCAAGTACCACCTTCTCTTTTAGAATCCACTGTGCTTATTATTATTTTTCAAGAGTCTTGTTTCCCAATAACATTATAAATTATTTTGGGCAGAGATGATGTTTTAAATATTTGTAATCCTCAACAATGCTTTGCATAAGTGTTGAGTAGGATCAAGTTGGGACCGACTGCATGATTATGATTTAACTTCCCACTCACCACGATTGGTCCCAGTTCTGAGGCCCAGGGATGCACAGAGCAGGCAGCAGCGCTCAAGGGCACTCACTCACCTGCATTGCCATGCATGCAACGTGGCTGGGCAGTATCAGACAAGCAGAGCTGGCCTTCTAAGAATTTGTCTTCTCAACATCTGTGCCATTGGCTACAAATGGGTAGAGTTTATGTTACAACTGGAAGAGTTCAACTTTCTTTTACAATTCTCTTTGTTTTAGAACTTTAGGTTTCCCTGTACAGTCAGGCTACTAGGTACATAATAGAACATTATGATCTGAACACTCCTTTGTGGGTGTGTGTGAAACCTGCCACAGTAATCCAGAATTCATTGGAATTCAGCTACTCGTCTGAGGTGGAACCAGTTCTCTCGGGTGGTCTCACCCAGACTGAGCTTCTTATGGCCCTGATTTTGTGCTTAAAGATACATAGTTTTCATAATACATGCACTAGGGTTCATTTAACAACCCTAAATAATGTGTTAGTCTTGTGTATTCATAAAAGTAGTTCTTCACTTTCTGGGTGAAAGGATTTTAAGGGATAAATTTGACTCAGATTTTCACCTTCTTCACAGATTACCCAGTTCCCTAATTAGAGGTGACTTTGCTGTTTGAGCACTTACCAGGTACTTGGCTAGGTCATAAAGATGAGATTCCAACTCTGACCTCGAGCAGGCCACAGTCGATAAGGCAGACAGCACATAAAAATGTACTTTCAGTAGGAATCAAAGCCCAGAAGTTGCCGGGGGTCTGAGGAGGAGGCTGGCCAGTAGCAGGAGTTAAGGGAGGTTCCTGGAGATGCCGTCTAAACCTAAGCTGACCTTGAAAGAGAAAGAGTGTTCAGTGGAAGGAGGAAGAGGGTGTTTTTGTTGTAGGGAATGAGTGAGAAACTGAGTAGTTCAAGAAACTGTAAATGGAAACTCCATTATCCTGAAGCATCAAATGAAAAAGAAACAGAGAACACTTATGTTTCTTTGGTAAGGATCTCGGATTTGTTCTGTATACCTGTGTTTCTCAAAGTGTGATCCATAAACCACTTGAGTTCTTTGGGGCACTTGGTAAAAATGAGAATTCCCTGATTCCATACTACATTTAGAGTCAGGATCCCTGGGGAGGGCCAAGAAACTGCATTCTGTAAGCTCCTAGGATGCTTATGCCCACTGAGGTTGAGAACGATAGTGAAGTGGAAGGCACTGAATTGTGTTATGCAGTGTAGGGACTTGCTAACGTATTTACTTCCCTAGAGCCCAGGGGCATCGTAGGGGATCTACTGGCAATGTCTCTTGGGAAGCAGGGAACTGCTTCCTACTACCGTAGTCCACATGAGCTCTTGCAAGTGCTGGAATTAAGAAGGACATGCTGGAGTAGAGAGGAAATGGGAGATTTATAAGATGACTAGGAGGAAGGGGACAGGACGTGGTGACCAGACTGAGCCACCAGCAGTTGGATGAGTGCTTTGGGATGTGAAGCAGCGGAGTGAGTAATGGTTAACGCTGTGGACTCTGAAACCAGACTGCCCTGGGTTCCAGGCCCAACAATTTCCTATCTGTGCAACTTTGGGTAAGTTACTTAACTTCTTCATGCCTCGGTTTCCTCCATTAAAA